TGTTCGACAATCGTTGTCTCAGAACCATAGCTCGTGTGGGTTGGTGTCAGCAAATCCGTAACGAGGCAGCTAGAAAGCGCATTTTCGGTTGTGCAACGGGTACTTCCATTGAAAAATGTGTCCAGCACCAGAAGCTGCGTTGGTTGGGACATATGTTGAGTATGCCGAACTATCGTTTGCCGAAAAGAGTGCTGTTTTCCATGCCCAATTCAAAGTGGCGTAAACAGAGAGGTGGCCAACGCATTGGTGCGTAAATACAGCACTGTCAGTGGGGGGAAGAGAGCTATGGAATGAAGGCAATAACTTGGATGCACGAGCGTCATTGAGGGCGCGACTGGGCCAGAACTGACAATGTCACTAGAAGTTGATGTGGCCCGTTTCGGGGTCCCCATCCGGGAAGACGGCAATGACCAGCGCAACTGAGGTTGCTGGTAATGGCTTCCATACTCCGCTGTCACGTCACCGTTTAACCTCCCTTGGCTTCTCTCCACCCTTCACGTGGTTGTGCGAAAAGAACCCTTTGGGGAAGTCGGTCGACCAGCATACGGAGCACGTGGTGAAGCCAGTGCAACCTATGCAGTGTGATCAGTTCATCTATTGTGGATGATTTATTCCTTCCGAATATTATCAGACGTACTTCAGCATTGCTGGTCTGGTGTTCTCGGACAATGCCCAAAGGCATCGATAGTTAAACAGTGAAAATCTTCTGACATCTTGGGGGCGCAGCAGTCAGGTTTCTGATCCGTATAGTGACATGGAGCGCATCGCAGCATTATAAACTCAACTCCTGACGGATAAGCTGATGTCACGCCTACGCCACAGGTGACGCAGGTTCACAAAAGCTGCTCTGGCCTTCGCAATTCTGATGGAAATATCATCTTTCGCGAGAATAGCGGGACTGATACAGCTGCTAAAATAGACAAGTTTGTCTGCTATCCCAATCGGCTGATCCGCAAGCATGAGGTTAGGTTGCGAGCCCACCCAGTCTTGCAGTAGCACTTTACGCTTTACCGGTATGAAGCACATGCTAAATTGTGAAGCGGTATTATTTAGCTCATTTAATATTGCATTACCACAGGATCAGATCCAGGAAGAGCTATGTTGTCTGCGCACTTGATATCGGTGACTGGACGCCCCGGGAGAACTCCTACCCCACAGGCATTAGAGGCTGATATCGAGTCCTCCATGATAGCATCCATGACAAAGTTGGAGAAAGATGAAAGAGAACAGCCCTGTCTGACAAGACTAGCGAGTTGTCGACGACGTAACTGCGGTGGATGATCAATGAATACAGTTTTCCATGACCTACACAACTAACAATATTCTCATGCCACATCGGCCGTCGCGTGGTGCCATCGTTGATGATGATGATGATGTTTCAAATAGTAACTGTTAATTGGTTTGCCACCACACAACCACAATTAGGAAGGTAAAATTAAACGACACAACAAGCGTACAGTAGCCTACGTCCGGATGATCGACTAAAACATATAATGGATTCCCAACTGTTACCCCACTGGACAACGTCTCAGCTCCTTGGTGAAAACAAAATGAGCCAATGCGATTCAACTGGACTTTATCGTGGTGTTTGTATTCGTTCACTTCTATAACCCACTGCGCTGTACTGCGTGGCGGCACTTTAACACCCACAGAGTTACATATTCGAAGTTGGTCAGTGGAAACAGGTTCGACAAACAGTACCTGATCCTCCAGGTTGAGGGTTGGAACTTGTACTACTGTGATAACATGCCGGCACCCACCCGTTGCCCTGAGATCAGGTTTTTGAACCGAAGGCCTCGGGTGACGGCCTTGAACGACATCCTCTCTAGATGTGGGCGACCTCTGTACATATCCATGAACCTCACAACCAAAAACACTCATGCCACTTCGGCGTCGCGTGGTTCCATCAATCGGATCGCGTTACTCGCTTCATACAGCAGGACGGGTAAGCGAAAACAGGCTACTCTGAAATCTCCCTTCTTACTCTTTCATAAACTTCCCCCTCTTACCCCTGTTCACACCTCACTCTCTCCTTGTGGGCCCAGCACTTCGGACTGTTGACTCCATTCGTCCTGCATCGGTTAAGCAAGCAACATCTGCACACCCTTCGGCGCCGACATTCTTAGGCATCTCGAAATCAATTTCCAAGCCTAGACACCCAGTCTATCTAGCCACCTTCAATGAACTCACTCTTATCATCATCATCAAAGGCAGTTACATCAGTGTTGACACTGATGCATCACTGCTGTACAACCTAGAGGGGAGAGAAATGAAAAATAGTGGGTGGTCGAGAGGACCTAGTGCTAGTCTATGTCAAGCATTCTGAGGTACCTACACCTCCAAGCGCTCAATCAGACAATCTGGAAAGAAACTGACAGCACGAACGCTAATGACATTTATTTGCCGCCATTTCTTGCAATGTCTCCAGTCAAGCACAGGCGGGGTCACGGGGACCCCAACCTGGAAGACGTGAAACATCAACATCCAAACTCTTCGTGATCCCTTTCACGCCGTTCTGTCATTCGCTGTCCACCTTGCAAGTTGTACCGTTCTAAAGGAGGCACGGAGAACAACACTCGTCTCGGAAGACGGTGTTTCGGCATGCAGCATACGGTCGAGCTATCGTAGTCGGTGGTGCTGGACGTCTTCCTCGACTGAAGAACTTGCCGAACAAATACCCGTCTTCTAGTCACCTCGTTATTAACACGTTGACGACATCCGAAACAAGTCACGCTTCTGAGGCATCGGTGGTCAGAAGCCCGAAGATGCCTCATCTGCCCGCAGAGGCCATGTTTTGCTCCCACACAACATAGCCCTTACTGCAGCGTAGTACACGCGACCCTTAAGATCTAGTGATATGCTTTTTTGACACCATAAGCGACGCAAATTAACGAAAGTGATTCGAGCCTTTGAGATTCTCGCAGTGGCATTTCCGTCAAGGCGAATACAGATACCAAGGTATGTAAAATTTTCGACAATCTTCAGCGATTATCCTTGAGTTGTAAATGATATGTTCGGAGACTGCATGTTCTGAAGCATGACTTCGCACTTTAAATGTGCAAGGCTGTCATGGCTATCCTTTGTGTTCATACTGTCGTTTCGTATTAACCATACTGTCGCCGTCACTTTCAGCTTGTGTACGTCTATCCTTAGACAAGTAAACCGCTATTCATTCCACGCTATCCAGTCTTATTCTCGGGCTCAATCAGGATCGATAATCCAACCGTAACAATTTACTTGTCTAAGAATACAATGGAAGCGTTGCTGCGACCCAATTGCTTCGACATCAATCCTAAATCTCCAGACGCCATGACGTGTTGAAATCACTGCTTCCGAACCTCCGAAGGTTTCTTGGCACTGTTGAATCGCCTAATCTGAAAAAAAACTCCCAACCTTGATCCATTTTGTGGATGCACCTGCATACGTTTATGTCGCTGACTGTCCCGATTACGACTTTGAAAATTTGTATGTTCGTCATAAGAATATGATTTATGCTCGTCATCTACAAACTAAACATTCCACCAGCCGTGCCTCAGACTATCTGTGTTACCCTGCTTGCGAACAAGAACCTCGGAAGGTAAGGACTATGTCCAAACTACTCAGAGTCGTCGTCCGGGCCGCACTTGGATGATTCATATGCATGCATACAGCCCCGCAACAGATGTAAACAAACAGATGTTAGTGACTCAAACAGTGCACGTTCCCTTCGGAAGAGAGATATGGACGGCGCGGAGTTCACTGTTTACAGACACCGAATCAAGCAAGCCTCAGCTCATGAACTCACAGTAACGTCAATAACGGTTCGATCGGTTGTGGTAGCTTGAAAATCACCTGAAGTTTGAGGGCGATAGTGTCCAGGCACCCAAATTAGTCAAGGTCAATTGCGGTATTAGGACACAGTATCCACGTACTAGACGCAGTAACTCGTCTGAATCCCCTTAAGGCTCATAGCCATGCGCTCACATCAGCAACAGACAAACCTCGCATGTGATTGGCCAAATCCATCGGTATATCAAGTCGGGCTCTGATTAGTTGGAACGTGATAGTATACCATAGGACACAGAGGCATAATTCGTGCAATGATCATCCGGAATCTTGCACCGGAAGCTAAAGTTGTGTCTCTCAATGCCTCTAGGCTAATTGAATTTTTAATCCGGCTTCGTTTCTCACACGAATGACCACTGAACAACAGTGATAGCGAACTTCCCGAGTATAAGTTCACGGATTCTTGTCGTTCAGTTTTTGGTGAGCTCGAGTATTTCTAGATATTTTTTGAAATCTTTTCCTTTCAACTCGTCGTAATTTTGTTTCTTTTGCCCGGTAATTATGGAGGCACACTTTGATTCAGCGGATTTAGTCGAGAATGCGATTGGCACACGTTCACCAGACTACAATCCACACAACCCCAGGGTATGGTTTCACCAGGTGGATTCAGTCTTTACTACCCGACGCATCACTTCTCAAGCCACGCGATTTTTCTATGTTGTCCAGCATCTTTCTTGTGATGTAGCATCAGAAGTGGAAGATGTGTTAGAAGATATTCCCAAAGAAAATCCGTATGGCGCCCTTCGAGCGGCCGTCATAAGTAGGACAGGGAAGTCAGAAAACAAAATGCTACGGGATTTATTCACCGCTGTCGAACTTGGTGACAGATCGCCATCACAACTGCTTCGCCACATGCGCAGTCTCCTCTGCGGCCGCAAGCTAGCGGTGGGAATCATGGCCCAATTGTGCCTCGACAAACTCCCACCGTCCATGTCCCACGTCATCAGCGCGTTCGTTGATTACCACAGCTTG